CCCGTAACATGGGTGGAGTTGCTGCCCGTGGTCTGATATGGCTTCCCGGCCTTCATGCTCGCTCTCGTGACTCTCCTACGCACCAATGACCGATCCATCTTGTGAAGTTCCACACCTACATGACATGCACCTGGCCAGCTTCGGTGCACGCATCCATGCATGTAAGGTGTGGCTAGGTCTGAGTGGACTGGGACTTAAATCCAAGTCTCAATCAAGTGATATAGTATAATAAAAAAAATTATGCAAGATCAAAGAAATATAGCGTCAATCGAGACATAACGAAGTCTCGACCGACTGAGACTTAGCAAGACTGATGCGTAAGATTGATACGTGTAAGCATGTGTTGGACGATGGCACAGGAAGCCAGCCGGTGATCTCCGCCCATGGTTTCCAACCCCAAAACTTAATATGCATTATCATTTCCGACGGCACGCAGTCCCGTGCCTTCGATGGAGCGCAACAAACATCGACCAGTCGGAACCAGAGCAGAGCAGTGCATCTGTGCACGCCGGGAGACGCCAAACCGACTCGAGTTTTTGTCCGGACCCAGCGCACAAAAGATCTCAGCCGATCGGGTAAAAACAAGCCAGGGAACGCATTGTCAGTTGTCATGCAGTGGCCGAGATGGCGAGATCGACGTTCACGCGCCCGGCCGTGACGGCGACCCCACGCTTCCCCTGGCCGCCGAACACCCCACGGCGAGCCACGCCCGCCCGTTGCGCCGGAGCCGCGACACGTTCCGCTGCCGCTGCCGATCGAGCTCCGGCAAAGGCGGGGCTTCTCCTGGGGTGAGAGGTGTCTCAAATCAAACGGCCACTGCACCTGGACAAAGGAGTACTGTCCGCGGATCGCGACCGTCCGATCTATCGATCGATTGGACGTCGATAACGATGTGCTGTGAGCAGCACATGAGCGAGATGCGCTGTGTCGTTTATTGCAGACAGGATCAGAGATATCCAGGTTCCTAGATTCAGCGTGAGTTAAAAGATGTGGCTTACCGGGCCCACTTGTCGGATGTGCTGCAAAAAAAACTAAAAGGCGTCCCTGTCATGTTAATTCCGAATTGTGTTACCTAATGTCCGGATATTTTGTTTTTGAATTGTTTGGATTGCTTACTACATGTGTCACGCGGTCGTCTAGATTTTTTCTTAGAAAAATGAAGGTTACAATCACAAAGGTACTTCTCATTCGAATGATTTTCTTAGAATAAACACAACTTGCTTTTTTTAGAATAGCTATTTCTCATTTGAATGATTTTTTCCTGCTTTAATTTGATATTTTGGCTCTCCACTTCTTCTATTTCTGCATCTGGCAGTCTTTCAGATTTGTATATTTTTATATTTTGGTATAGGTTTTCTAGTGGGTGGTTTTGCTATCTAATTCATTATTTATTTTGGTTAATAGACCTTGGCACGTATTGTGATATTTGTTTATAGTTGAATTCTGGTTAATTTTGTTTCTCTTCCTTATTTCATTTTTATTTTTACGGCACATATGAGGGTCATGTCATGGTTGGGGCATGGAGGCAATAGCGCCAGACAAGAACCGCTGCCTCTCGGACCTAGAGGGATGGTTTGATGCAGGTGGATGAACCAACGGTGCTGATGACAGGGCAACGTACACGAGACAGTGGGGTTGCACGCAACGGTGTCAGACACGCGTGAGGAAAAGCGGTGGCCGGCGAAATTCAAGGGCGACGTGCTAAGGCGGTCCAGCTACCTGGACGGAGATGAGGATGGCATTGCCGACGATGAGGTAGTAATGACTAGAGAGAGATCGTGGCAGCAACTCGGCGGAGACAAGGATAGAACCGGTGAGAAAGAGTTACTGGTGGCACACAAAGGGAATGGTCGGACAATGAGGCACCCTTAAATTTAGTGTACATTGGATGCTATAATGAGATCATGGTGATGTATCTAGGCCATTTGCAAGCGGTGATTTTACACCGTCGGTATTGCTACAGCTCGATCGCATCACGATGCCAACTAACTTCCTCAGAGTGCTCCTCTCTGACTCGCCGCGTTTTTTGGCTACTATGTGCGAACGAGGAGGGAAGAGAGGCACCACGACTAAAGAAACAAGTCAAACTACCAAAAATTTGATGGATTTCGAAGTGTGTGTGTGTGTGTGTGTGAGAGAGAGAGAGAGAGAGAGAGAGAGAGAGAGTAGGAAGGGGTCTCATATTTTGCACGCGGGAGCTTAAAAAAGGAATCTTCTTTTGGCAGAAACATGGGTGACTTGTGGCGGCCTGAACATTTTAGCTAATAAATAAAGGCCTAGCAAGCTTTTCTCAAAAAGAAAAGAAGCTTATTAGTGGCGAGCAAGCGGCTGTGTGAGGTTCGAGGACGCTGTTGTCTCACATTCTTTTCTTAATTAAAAAATTAGTAAAGGCTTCTCTCCCTTCTGGTCTAGTTTTCTCTACTACAGTATGTAGATAACGCCACGTAAACTTTATCACTGATTCCCGGTTGAACTGTCAACCCGGGCATTCCATTTCCAGAGCACACGAACCACATGCCCACGTGGCCTCTTCATCTCGTGGACACGTGCGGTAGCGCCAACGGACATCTCCGCTAGATCGTTTGGCCCTGCCAAACAGAGCCCAGATCTTGACCAGCCGCTCAGATGATCCAAAACCCGCATCTGGTAGCAATCACAGCAGCTGGCAGGCAGACTCTGTTTGTGCTGTGTGCATGCACCAAGATCACACCATGGGACCCACTGGGCCGTGGTACTGCTGTTGACCAAGCTGTACGTACACTACATATCTATCTGTCTGCAGGACGTACGCTACACTAAAATGCAGCATATCCACATCAGTGGCTGTGATGCTTTGTGTGGTTAGCGTGTGGTCATCTGGGTCAGGGTGGTCCAATCGACATTTTTTTTCGGGCACATATACAAATGTTACATTCATCAACCAGTATGTGTATTTGAATTTTAACAAACGCACTAAATTAGTTCAAGCATCCAAAGAAAAAGAAAAAACCTCAAAAGGAGTTTTTTTTTAAGGAATGGCATCGTGCCTTGCTTTATTTCAACTCAAAAATAGATATATCGTCCACAATAAAACTACGGACGAAAGAGGGAGGGTTCTCCATCCACACACATGGTGGTTCAACCCTAGCACTACTAGCTAGTTCATGAGCCGCAAAAAACAAACAAATGAAGATTGGAAACTGAAACCTGCAAAAAAAAAAACAGATTGAAGATTGAAAAGCATCACCATCTTAGCTTGCCACTATGCACCTTAACGCTTGTGCCACACGCACCCGGGCGCATTGCGTCCCCGGCCTCCGCCAACACCCTTGCCCTCCTCTTGCTGCCGGTAGCCCGCGCTGCCGCTTGCAAGGATTCAATTGATGACTCTAGGAGGAAGAAATGATCGGGCATCTTGTGGGCTTGCCGGTTTGGGCCTAACCCTGGTCATGTGTTGGGTCGGGCTGGGTTTTGGAACGGGCTTGAAAAAGCTTGATTGTGGCCCGAAGCCTGAATGTGCTTATTTTCTCAAGTCTAGGTATGGCTCATACACAAGCCAAAAAGCTCGGCTCGAACGCAGTTTTTTAGTATGTGCACGTCGAAGCTCAAAAGCCTGGCCTGAAAAGGATCAAAGGGAAGCCCAAAGCCAGCCCAAATTATGTTTCAGGCTACAAAATGAAGCATGAGCCTAGACCGAATGGTAAGCCTGACATGTCCTGTTTTTTTAGCTAGGTGGTCGGGCCGGGCTGTCCATGATCAGATTTCCTTGAGCTTTGTTGCCCTAGCTAATGTTTATTAGGCTAAAGTAGTGGGTTGCATTGGCAAAATCCGGGGGTGGTCCATGACCACCCTGGCCACCCTCTGGCTTCGCCAATGTGTATCGGCATACGCTGCACCTAGTGCGAATCCATCCTTAATTAGTGTTAATGTGCACCGATCTAATCTAATCAATGCAACAATATCAATGATGCCGATCATATATATTTTCTTCGCGGCTTGGAGATAGGGGGGTAGTTGCCGCAAAAAAAAGGAGGAGAGGCACCGTCAATCTAGAAACAAATCACTCTATTCGAAATCCGAGTCATTTGTAGGAAATTTCACTTCAGTGATAGTTTAGCAAATATTAAACATCGAACGTCAAAAGAGAAAATTCCTCTTTTGGCTGAAACATGGATGGCCCTTGTGGCCGACAAAGGCCCTTTGTCCGTGCTCCAAGCATGGCGCACCGTCGGCCCTAAACCTAACTCCCGGTTACCCCTACGCGATAGTGAAACATAATTGTCAGTCGGGTACTCGGGCGTGCAAACTTGCAAAGGACTCGTTCCCGCTCCCAGTCCACACCACATCAAGTAACTGGCCTACGTGCCGGCCTCAAACATCACTGCTGTACAACTCAAAAAAAAAAAACATCTCCGCTGTACAACTAAAAAAAAAACATCTCCGCTGTGCAGGCCCGGAGCTCGACCGGACGGCCAGATGTTCCAAACCCGACAGCGGCAGTGGCCACAGAAACTGCCATGCGACCTTAACTAGGTCGCATGCACCAAGGTCGCACCGTACGTGGGCCCCACCGCGCCGTGGTACTGCTGTTGACCTTTGCTGTACGTACGTACGTAGCGTACCTGTATCCATCCATCTATCTATCTATCTGCAGGGCGTACGCTACACTAATGCGGCGTATCCATCCACAGGCTGCGGTCAGCGCGCTGCGTTAATGAACCATCATCAATCTGCACTATTACATTTGGCCTCACTGAGACACTGATCGATCCACTCCGATCAATGTCACGATATCGCATGCTGATTGTCGTATATCCCGAGAAAGATCGCGCCTGACTGAGCATCCGTCCATCTCTTGCCGCCCGCGTCTTCCCCCCTGACCCTGGCCCTGGCCCCGAGCGGCGGTATATAAGCCGGTGTGCAGGCCCGGCACCTGACGTATCTGCCATCAGGCGAGAGTGAGGCCGGCCGGGTAGGGTAGCCACTAGCCAGTGCACCGTGCGATCGATCGACCGGCCGGGATGCCGAAGCTGCAGCGGTACAGGGGCGTCAGGCAGAGGCACTGGGGCTCCTGGGTCTCCGAGATCCGCCACCCGCTCATGTACGTCCGCAAACTGTACTGTATTCCTGTGCGATTCCACCTCTGTCGGTGCAGTTTTATGTGCAGTTACGTACGATCGACATGTTCTGATGTTGTGTTTGCGCTTTGGGATGTGGTGGTGGGCGCAGGAAGACGAGGATCTGGCTGGGCACGTACGAGACGGCGGAGGACGCGGCGCGGGCGTACGACGAGGCGGCGAGGCTCATGAGCGGGCCCGCGGCGCGCACCAACTTCCCCTCCTCCACCAACGGTGTCGCTCCCGCCGGCGCCGGCGGCCTCTCCGCGACCCTGCGCGCCAAGCTGGAGAAATGCTGCATGGCGACGGCGCCGCCGGTGCAAAACGTCGAGGCGACCAAGGCGGCGAGGACCGGGGGCGGCGCCGCCCGCCGAAACAGGGTCGAGGACGTCGTCAAGCGCGTGGACGAGGAGGAGGAGTGCATCGAGGAGATGATCAGGGAGCTCACCCACTACGGCTCCGTGGAGATCGTCGCCCCCTCCGCCTGCTCCAGCTCCGTCGTCTAGCTAGGCTATCCCGCCGACCATCGTCCAGCCAGAGCGACCGCTCCCCTAGCTAGCTAGCCAGGCCATGTCCATCTCCATGTCCATCAGAACATCCCCTTCGTCTCTCCCGACCTGGTTTTGTTAGGTAAAAAAAAACATGTAGCAGTAAACCAGTACTAATATACACCCCATATCCATCCATTAGCCGCCGTGGCTCATCATCGGCACATGTCATGTACACACTCCATTAGCCGGAGAAAACGGAGGAGCATCATCGCATCGGGCAATGGCCTTGTCGTCGTCGGCGGCGGCATTGCAATAACCGGCCGGGGACCCTTTCCCTAGGATCGTGCTCTGCTGCGTCTGCCTGCAACGGGAAGGGGACCGGGGATCTTTCAGGATAAGGGGGCTCGATTTGGGTCATGATGTGAAAACTGTGTCCCGCTCTGTCGCGTAGCAGCGTGCATCTGGCCGTCGTAGCCTCCTCTCTTTTTCTCTCGTTGTATAATCTTTGCTCTGGAAACTGCGCAAGATATTCCCGGTACGAGCGGCACAGTGCAGATCTTTTCTCAGTGGACTGATGTGACGCTTGCATGGCCGATAGATCGGACGCATCTCCATGTTATGGCCGATCGAACTGTCCTCGCCATTCCATCTTGAGCAGTCAAGATGGATGGATAGATAGATCGCAGGACGTCAAGGACGAAATTTCCGGGAGGTTCAGTTACTCCGTGGCTAAGCAAAATCAGGGGAGAACAACAAGAGTTTGACCCATACGAGTCGCCCGCTACGGAACAAAGCGGCCGCGTGGATGTGACAGCAGCTTGAACATGGCATATGTCAGCCATTCGAGTTGATGGATGGATGGATAGATAGATACAGGACCATCATAGAATGCCAAAACAGACACAGATATGCGATGGCTGGTGGCAATGCTTGTGTGGTAAATGCAAGCATAACATGCACTGTCAATCATCAATGATACAATACAATACAATCAAATAGTAGTGATGAAGTTGTGCTTCCGTCTTTCACAAACTACCCAAATAACAATAATAATACAGACCACATCTAGATGAGACTGAATGAGAGCAGCTACTGAACCTAGTAATCACATCTAGCCTACAGTGATACAACATGGATACGGGCGTGGGTACATGATGTGTTACCTGAGATATCCCATCAAATGAATACTAGCTCTGGTTAAACCTAGGTATCATACCGCCCCTTCTTGGGGCCAGTTAATATTAGTACACTGCGACCTGGTATAACAAGTGCTTGCTCCTACACTCCTCTTCATAACGCCCTACGAGCAGCCCTTTTCCGGCCACGTCTGACGTAAGTTGGTTTAGCGTCTTCCTTTGCGGGTTCAACTGAATCCGTCCCAGCGCCGTTTTCGACAGACTTACCATCCGCCGGTTTCTCTGAAACCGTTCTCACGCCGTCATCGACGGTGTTATCAGCTGAAGCATCAGCTGCAGAGTTGATGAACTCATTATTGTTGGGAGGTACAGCACTGCTCGAGTTAGTGCAGCTGGGATTATCATTGCACGAGGATTCTATCCCTGAGTTGCCATCTGATCGATCCAGAAGACTGCGGCACAAAGACACAATTAATGCCACACATCTAAGTGCAAACTACTCTACAAATTAGTATGACGGAATATAAAATGGTTTGCACATATCACATTACCCGTTGGCAGAGATTTTCTTGGTAGGCCCATTTAAACTCGTGTGGACCTTTTTCTTTAGGGAACGCAAACTCATCCGGAAATGGGGGGCTGCATCCTTTGCTCTCGATTCTGGAACAGTTCCATAATCAGCAAAGCCAACATAAGCATGAATAGTGGGAGCTACCAATTTACAACAATAGAAATGAATCACAAACAAAGAAATTAAGTTAGGCAAGGGATGCTACTGTAAAAAGGTTTCTGGTTTAGCTCTACTCCAGCCATTTCAGACAAGACTGTTCAACTAACATTCTAACAAAAATAAGCCCTGCCGGATATGGTTGATCTGTTGAGGGGATGCTTAACAAAATTCATCATGCTGAAAATAAGTTTACCATATATGGCCCGAAAGGACAACTCAAGCCATGTGTAATATGAGACAGTAGTTTGGGGAAAATTATTAACCATGGACAACATCAGTGTTGCTGCTTCATGCGGTAGACAGTGCGCTGTTTACGTGCATGGAATCCTTCTGTAGGTCGTAAACTATGTAAGCGCCTGTCAATATATTTGCTTCAATTGGAGGTTGTGACTCTCATATGCTTCTCTCTCTATCTCCCTTAAGCATCTACCTATAACCATCTCTAGCATTGGAGATGCCCTTCCTGATTTCTACCAATTATTCACAAGTTCCAGCACACTTCGAGCTCCAGAAGAGCCTAACCAAGGAATCAGTTTGCAACCAATTCCAAAGTTTAAATCAGTTTAGAACAGTTCATTTTCAGTCAATTTAAGCAGCCATAACTGCATCCAAACTTAACAAATTTACTAGGTCACAGGAATCGGCTACTACTGGTTGGCTACAGTAACTGACTTCACTGTGCCTGACAAGCAAAACTAGTAGGAGTATCATGATTCTTGGCCAATGCTTGAAATAAAAAGTCACATGTTTGTCTACATAAGTCGGTGCCACAGTTGGGAGTCACCGCCATTATCAAGGGGGCAAGGCCGCCCTTTGGAAGAAAGCAGGTGCAGCAGACCCAGAAAAACATTTGAGTGGGGGCACCTTCTATGCAAATTAAAAATCCTATGGAATTCGAAATTTTGAGTGTGGCATGGGTCGCCCACTCGCCCAGGCCTTGGAGAGCTTCTCACAGGACCCAACGAATGGATGATGTGCCTTGAGTCGCATCC